GGCCTGGGCGCCCGGCCAGCCCTGCCCGCCAGCGGAGCTGCTGTGGACGCGAGCGAGGCGTGGGTGTCCTGGGAGATGCTGCGAAGGTTTGTCTTCCCTGCGCAGCTCCGGCTCACACATGGACGCATTTAAATAAGCTGGAAGAGAGAGCGCTTTGCGGAGTGTCGGTGCCGCTTCTGTCACTTGATAACGAGGGTTTAAGGTGACGGAAGGAGCTTCTCTGTAACTCGATGAGTGCTCTGCTCTCCCCGGCCCCTGCCTGGGTGGGTGAGCAGGGGATTTCAGGGGCAGGCTTGGCTGCCCTGACCCCTTATCTCCAAAACGGAAGTTTTCAGAGGGTTTTCCTCTGAAGTTAATGATGCTGAGTTGCTCTGCCCTTTTTTCTTTTTCTTGTGCATTCTTCTGTTTTTGCTATTATTTCTAACGCAGTGGCTCAGGTAACACCCAGTGCCCCCCAAGCCAGGAGGCTCCTCTGTGGCATTTGGTAGCATTTGGGCACTTGCTTTTCCCTGTTGAGGCGTTCCCTGGCAAGGGCAGCGTGTCTGTGGCACCTTGCACTGCTTTGGCTACTCAAATGCTTAGGTTCAGGTTACAAATGCAGCATTTGGAACAAAAGCATATTGAAAAAAGCACTTTTTTCTGGCTTTGCAGCAGAGCCAGCCCACGCACTTCTTGGTGGTGTGCTGGCTGCCACAGGGGCAGCCCGGGACTTGCTGTGGCCGGGGCCTGCCTCAATGTTCTGCCCCCCAAAGGCACGGGCACGACACATCGCTGGGACCAGGGCATGACTGTTGGCATCGACCTGCTCACTGCCCCTGATTTTGGTGAACACCGGGCTTGGGGATCTCTCCTAACCAGTTCAACTTAGAAAGTGATTTGTGAACTGGATGCGTACCCACTGCAGGAATAGTCTTTTGGGTGGTTCAAAACTATCGTATCACTTAAGCTTAAAGACTGAGTCTGGCTTAACTATGTAGGTTTTAAGACAATCTTGGAACTAAACTAAAATGAAGAAAGGCTGTGTGCAGACAAAGGTTTTGTTTGTTTTTTTTTTGTTTTTTTTTTAAAGCTAGTGCTTAAGTAGAGCTGAGGTTGGTGCTATGATCACTGTAAGTAACCAGAGGACGGCACACGGCTGTACCCCTGGGGCCTGGTACTGCTGTCCTTGCACGCTGTGCTGTGTTGAATACACACAGGTGTGGGAAAACACCTATTTTTAAAGATGGTTTTGAGTATTTGAGCAGAATGCATTTATCACTACCTGAAGAGGGACTGTAATATTTTAATGTGGTTATCACCAGCATAATAGTAGTGAAAGGAACATCTTGACCATATGCATCTAAAAGTGACTGTGTCCTAGGAAGAATTTCGTTGAGGGGGGAAGTTTAATTGCATTTATCTATTTCGGTGACTACTTTTTTCAAGGGTCAGCTTTCCGATAGTCTTTTCATATGGATCCACAGTTTACGCCATGGAAAATCCTGTAGCTTTCTGATTGAGCTGAGATGTTTTAGAATCCCTTAGAAAAGCAGAGATGGTGATGGGGCAGCCAGCACTGAGGGGCTCTGCCTCCCCTCGGCTTAGCTTGCTGGAGCCGGGTGTGAAGAGAGCAGGTATTGGGCTGGGGAGAACACCGTGCACAGACAAGGTAGAAGTTAGAGGGATGAATTGTCCCAGAGTTTGCCCTGGAGCGACTTTCTCTTGGGATGCTGATGACCAGTTACAGATCCTGACTGCGCTTGCCTGAAAACAATCCAATTTGTAACTGGGGCTGTGAGCTCCACAGGCCTCCGAGGGGTCTCTTTGTGTTTGCACACACAAGGTTGCTTTCCAGGAGGTTAAAATAATATTTCCTGGTATCTGGAACACTGTGTTTATCACACAAATGTAGGCAAAAAAGCTCATGCTCTCTGGTGTTAAAGACTGGCAGTTTTAGAAAAAAAGGTCTCCTTCAATGACCTTCTGACAGGTTTTTGTAACATCTTCCTTCTCCTAAGCATATGAAGCAAATAACAGGTTATTTGCTGAATGGATGATTACTAGGTTATTTACTAATGGATAATCAACTGAAAAAGTGAAGCTGAGGTATCTGGTGATCACAGGAACTATTTTATTGCAAATGCTGTGTGCTCCACCACAACAAATACTGCTCTGAGTGTACAAAGAGAGCACCAAACCACGAGTCGAAAATGGGAAACAGAAACATTTGCTTCTCCCTTCAGAAGGATTAGATTCCCCTGCTTTCTGGTGGTGTTGCACTAGAAGCAAGACTCAGGTGAGTCGCTGCTCATGGGCAAGGTTAAAAGCCCTCTGCCCTGCATGGGGTTTCACCTACAGCCAGTGCCCAGACAAGTGGTGCCACTCGTTTCTCGCTACCGTGAGAAACAGAGAGACTCACAAATATTAAAAGCAAGAGGTGTCCTTGAAGAAATTATATAACCAATAATTAATGCAAGTTGTTGCCTGTTTTCACCTACAATCAGCAAAGTTATAGCAAATTAGAAGACTTTAGTCATGATGGTAAACCCCCCCCATGCTATGAACTGGTATTTGCCACTATTCCTTGTTCAGAGCTTATTCCTCAAACTCCTGTGCTAAAGTGGTGACTTAAGGCACGACTCGCTTGACTAAAGGTGATGTGAAATACTTGTTGCCCTCTGAAGAGAGACAGCTCAACCAAACCTGGCTCCCTGCCAATGTTTCTGAAGAAAAACAAGTTAAAACTCCAAATCAGAATGTTTGCAGGCTTGAGGGTTTAAAAAACCTGGACTTCCCAGTATCTGTGTGTTTAAATACTTCAGGATGTGTTTGACAAGGTCTCAGGAATGAAATGTAATGACGCTGTCTTAAAACACACGTGAGGTTAATCTTGCCAAAGCCAGGGATCACAGCACTGATCTGCTGTGCTGCTGTAACGTAGGAAAAGCGCCGAAACATTTTTATCCGCTGGTGGACGGACGGGGCTGACGGTCACTGCTGGTCTCTGGGGTGTGCCCTCGGGTCACCCGTGGAGTCGGATGAACCTGGCGAGGAAGGTGTCTCAGAGCTGGATTTGACAGCTTGAAGATCTCAGAGTTGTTGGTCCTTGCCTTTGGCCAACAATGCAACGGGATGTGTGGAAAGTAATTTAGTAACCAAAAGCGGCAAAGATTTGAATAGATGATCTATTAACAAATATGAGATGGTGTAGGGCATGACGATCCTACTTTATTGCTGTTGCTCAGTTCAGCCCCAGCTTTTGAGTTATTGGTGGTTTGATTAGAGAATTGCTTGATTAGAGAATTTGTCTAAATTTTCTTCTTGTTCATGCCAAATTTGAACAGGTCATTTGCTGCTGGTAATTTTATTTAGGCTTACTTGCAGCTATCTGTCCAGTCTTGTATTTCCAAAGCACCTCGTGTTGTTCCGTCCCGGAGATGTAGCATGAGGAGACGATCTGGCATAAGGGGCAGAAAGTGCAAAAAGCTCCCTTTTCGTGCTTGCTTACTGTAACGGGAACACGGGAAGGACTCAGCGCCTGGCAGCTCCCGCCCCGGCAAAGGGGCCGCGGCCTGGCGGCCTGAGCCCGCTGTGGGGAACCGGGCCCGTTCGGGGCACCCA